CTATAAGATTAAAAATATATAAATCCTTTATATCCTCAAAGAAAAAAACAAATGGAGAGAATCAAAAAATAATCATAAATATCCTATTAATTTATCTGATAAATTGTTAATATTATGTATTTACTACGTATGATTTTAATGCTGCAGCAAAATTAATATTAATTTTTAGTTGATAGCTAATCACTCTTGGAGCTTTTTAGAGTTTTTTATCATTTTCAGTTAGCTTTTTCATTATTTACAGAGGTTTCTTTGTCATAATATGAATAAAAAGTTAAAAGAAGTCTTTTTGATAGCTGGTTTCAGTAGATTTCAAAAGCACTTTTTTTATTAATAGAACCATAATGATAACTATATCCAAGTTTATATTGTCCTGCTATTTCCTCCGTTTGCGGATTTCAAATAGTATTATGTCTTTGAATCTTGTGCCTTCTGTATAGAACAGTGAGAATTGTGGTTATGGTCGTGGTCGTGGTCATGGTCATGGTCTTCGTGATCTTCATCGTTTTCAACTAAATATAAAAAATGTATTAATGGTTAGATTTTATTTGACGTACAATATACAGTTTAAAGATTGTATTTGTTATGATCGCAAGATTGCATATAAATATATGAGAAATAGTATGATAATAACTTTGCAATTATTATACAGTACATACATAATATAATATCATCTAGATCTTCATTTTGAGAATCTAAAAAAAAAAAAAGAATGTAAATACACTTTTATATAATTCAAAATAATATTTCACAATGATAATAATAATAATAATAATTGTTATTTTACCTGGAATCCTCGGAAGTATTAAATATTTGCTCTTCCAAGCACTTTTTGGATGAGTATTTGAATATGCATTTGCAGCAATTTCAGGAATAAATTTATCAGCAGCTTCAAACGATTTTCGAATTTCTAATTGTTCATTACTTAATTCACTAACATCATCAACAAAAGTATCTTTCCATGATGATATTTCACGTAAGACCGAATTCATTGTTGGACGTTTTTCGGGATCGGAATTCAAACAGTTTTCTACCAATTCTACATAACATTTAGGTGTTCCTTCGGCGCATTTTGGGCGATCACCTTTGCATATTTTGTTAGCAAGCCCAAGACTGTGTGGATGATCATGAAATGGTGGATTTCCTTTAGACATTTCTACCATAATCATCCCGAAACCATAAACATCTACAACCTCTGAATAGTTTTGACCGACAAAAATTTCTGGTGCAATATATGGTAAAACTCCAAATATTTTTTGATTCTCTCCATTTGTTTTTTTCTTTGAGGATATAAAGGATTTATATATTTTTAATCTTATAGTCTCACTACCATCCTCATTTATATCAATTGATTGTAAAATATTACCAGTATGTAAGTCTTTATGAATTGATTTTTCAAAATAATGTAATTTTGACAAACCACGAGCAGTAGAATCAAGTAAATTGATCTTTGTCTTCCATTTCAAGTCGCTAAAATTGGATTTTAAATAAGTTCTAAGGTCTCCATAATCAAAATGTTCGATAACTATCATAAATTTCTCTATTTGTTCAACATATGTTATTCCATAAAAACTGATAGGATCTGATGATTTTGCATTTTTGTAATGAGTTTTAAGCTTTATGATACGAAAAAAAAAGTACAAATTAATCAATAAAAATTTAGTATCAATTAAAATTAATAATTAATTATTTTACCTCATTTAAAAGATCTCTTGCTTTATTTATAGAACTTGGTAAAATTTTAAGCGTGACTTTTATTGGTGGAGAACGACCTTTTACCCAAGGATAAAAATATTTTTTATATTCTCTTTCACCATCTAACCAAATAGCAGAATAAATAGGATTTGAGCCTTCTTGACCAATTGTTTGCAAATAAGCTATACTTTCAAAAGGAATCCATTCGAGATATGAATCAGTATAATATCCTGCTTTTTTCTGAGTTTTCCGTATAAATTCATCAATAATTTTATCACCACTATCCCACCCTTGTATTAACTTTTCAATATCACAAGTATGACACCAGTCATAATTAGTATTAAACCTATTACAAACTGTGCATGTCCCATATTCTTCACGCCTTACATATTCTTCTACAAAATCATCAATTGATAGACGATCTATGGAATCATCGGAATCATAATCCTCCTCTATAGGATTGATAATGTTCTTATCACTTTCACTATCAATATTTTTTTTACTATCAATGCTCCTTTTCAATTTTTTTTGTTTTAGAGTAGAATTAACGCATCCCATTTTTTATAATTAATTTATAATAATTCAAATAATTTTAATCGGAGAGTAAGTTAATTCTCAAGAACACTTTATATATATAAAAAACATTGCAATGCAGATTTTTACCAAGAATGGTATAATTGTTTTTTTCAATAAGCAAATAAAATATGTTAATTTTACATAAAAACAATAATGTAGTGTGATATGCATCAATTTATCTATAGAAAAACTTATGCATGTATTGGGTCTAATTTTCGCATATCTATTTTTATGTTATACAATATGTGCGTGTGATTTGTAAATGTGTATATTATGTAATATTAATTTGGGCGGATTTTATCTGATACGTATATATGATAATAACAAAAATTTAGATTAGGAAAACCATTTAATTATCATGTGTATTGTATTTTATTGGCTGGTTTGGTTTATTTATATTAATCTCAATAGAATGTTCATGTGGCTCTATTTAATTGGTAAATTATATACTGTACTATACGTAACAATTATACGTATGATGAGAATTAGTATACGTAGCACTTGTTCCAAATGCTTTTACATTTGTATAATCCTAAGTGCTATTCACAACACTTTTTATTTCCAAGTTCATTAATCGAAGCATTGACAACAAGCCGGTTAATAATAAAAATATTTTGGCAATTTATTATTTGCATAAAGAAGTTTCTGCTTAATAATATATATTATTCACAACGATTTGTTGTAATTCAGTAAATTTAAAAAATTACTACATATCAATTTCATTGTTGCAATTTCCTTTTTTTAAAATCATTAAAGTAACTGACGTTTGTTTTTCAAAAAAGGGAAATACGTACAACATTGAACGAATCTAAGTACCTAGTTGAAATTGGATATAGTAACATCAATACCGATCAAGAGGTACTATGTTTTACGGAGTATTTCATAGGCCAGCGCTGTATGTATGCTAATTTAGTGTGACATTTAAAGCTTGGCATGTTTATAAATTACTCGATAATTATTAACATATTAGCGTGTTGATGTATTAACTAGTATACATATTATGATCCGAATGACTTGATGAAACTATTGGCAGTATTTCAATGACATTGTTAGCATTTAAGAATTATCTTTTGGATTTTATTTTTTATTATTGGACCTGTTATCTCATCAAGCCAATTTCTATTTCTTATAAACTTAAGCATCAGGTCATTTTATTACATAAATTGCTCAGCTAATTCAACATAGCTTTCGGGAAGTTCCAAGAGCGAACTCTGGTCTTTCTCCTCTGCAAATTTTAATAGTATATTTAGCATCAAAATACTGTACTTACTATCAAAAGCTTTTGAATTTTGGTGGTTAGTTATCTTGCTATTATTAGAAAATTTCATTATGGTAGCAATTAATGAAAATAAAGTAAAATATGAAATTTACTATCAAATTTATGAATTACTGTATTTTACTACCTAGAGGTAAATTTCTGTTTTACAGATTTGTTGCTTTGAGTTTATGTTACAATTCTTTTTTTTTTTTTAATTTCAACCTGTGGGTTGAGGTGAGGTCTTGCCTCTATCTTTATTGGGTAAAATATAGTTAAG